GGCCTTAGGACTGGTACATGGCGACTCAGAATAGGCTTAAAATCGCATGGAACATACTTAATCACACTAAATCTGATGATAATGTTTGCTTTTGGAGAAAACTTCAAAAAAAACCTGGTACAAATCGGAGACCAAATATTGGATGCCTAGATCATGTTCGCCCAAGGAGGGAAGTGCGTCAGACATTTTATATGAAAAACCGAGATTTCTCCGGAACAATTCAATATTTTTTGATAAAAATTTCGAGATAAATAGTCCATATGAAGATACATCTTCCATGAAAATTTAACTGAAAAAGACTGTATGATTCAGGAGAAAAGTGGACTTTATTGATTTTCCACAAAGCTTGACCTCCATAAAGCGATTCCTATAACTCGGGAAGGAAACACTTTTAGAGCGCGATCTTTTGGAAGTAAGCTAGTCTATATTGGTTCTATATATGGTAACAATTACAATCCTATCGCTAGTATCAAGTATCTGACCGTATCGTACACTCTCGGCTTTTCTCAGACAATGACTCTTAAGAAACATCATTAGGGTTAGTCTTTGTTTTTAGTAGCTTAGTAGCGAGAAAGAAGAAGAATAAACAAGAAAAACGAATTTGAGTGAGTTTACTTCTGTATACGGCATTTCCTTACGCTTGTAGATTTGATTGCCTACGTTCCGAGAAAGCTATTCGATACAAAGCTTGTAGAAGCATTAATGTGTTGATAGATGACGCAGCAAGTAGAGAACACTGATATATACATAGTCACCAATCACAAGTAGGGCCCTTCAACAGCCATTGACAAGAATGTAACTCAAAATTTCATGATTATCTATCAGATTTTCTAATCCTGTTTGTCCGAAATCATTGTTCACGGTGTTTTACAGAAAGTTTATCTTTTAGCGCTTTATCTTGAACAAAATTAGGTACTATAAGTCGAATCTTGTACACTTGTACATATTAACAAATATAAATACAAAATACTACAAGCAAGATGACAAACTGCATTGATTAAGGAGTTTTGGTTCTTATGTATATTCATCAGATAAATGCTCGTGGTGACTTTTTCTATGTCTGCTCAAGGCTAATATTGACGAAGAGTGAGAGTCACTAAAGACCCCTGATCTATAATAACAACGGCTCAGACTACAACAAAAAAGAGTAACTCTAAACAGATAAATAGGATACCTGTGATGTTGATAAATTAAACTTAAATATGTGGGGGAACAACAGTTTTCTTAATCTAAGTCAGAAACGAGTGTCATTGTAACTGAAGAGTAAATTACTAGATTTAAGCAATAAGAAAAAGTCGTTAGTAAAGCACGCCTTTCTCTTCTGCTTTATTTTTTGAATGTGATCGATACTTAGCGAATGAAACGAAGATGCAAAATATGAACTCTGTTGATATACGAACAGAAAAGCTCTGTTGTACTAGTATGTGTTTGAAATTGTTTATCGAATAACGCTCTACATTTTTCATGTCTCGATAACGTTGCAAGCTTGATTTTCTTTAGAACCACACTTTAGTGTTAGTGTTTCATGTCGTTATCAGAAATAGAATTCTATTTATCATACAATATCTGCAAATAGATCATACTAGGTGTTGTTGTTGTTTTTTTGTCCCTTTAGTATGTCTGTTTTATAACCGTTGAACTTCTTCTGACTCAAAAAAATGCATTTGTTTACTGTTTTAGGTAAAATCATCAGCAACAGCATTTTTCCTTTCTCTGTATTTAAATACCAAAAGTAGAATAAATATGGATGTTTTTGTGATGATTCGCCGACAAAAATTAACATTATTTTTGGATGGAAAAGAGTCAACAACTGTGCATGAATTAAAAAAAATGATTGAAGGCATAACAAAAGTTCCCACACAAAATCAACGTCTTATCTTTGATGCAACCGCATTAGATGATGAAAATCAAACACTATCTGAATACGGTATTAGTGGTAGTGTAGCGAAAGCTCATTCACCGGTGCTGTTATATTTATGTTATCGAAAACAAGGGAACGAGAACGAATGGGAACAACCGGAAGTTGCAGTGCGTGATTTTCATAGATTATCTATGTATCAGAAGAAGTCATTTGTATTTATTCTTACAACTAGCATTTTATTAACAAAATAATAGTAATGCTTTCAATCTAATGCACACATCATCTTTGCGCTTTATGAACAAGGTAATAAAATGCTAATATCGGCATTTATTTTCGTCCTTTGCAGTACTCAAGACAAACACAGAAGGAAGAAGTATATATATATATATATATATATATATATGTGCATTTTATATATTTTCTTCTTTGTTTTTAAAGTATTGAAGATGATTTATGTATTAGACTGAAAGCGTCACTATTATTTTGTTTATAAAGTGGTAATTGTGAATATTATACAATTATTATTCCTATTTCTAAATTCTTTTGTCTTATTAATAATATTAGTATTTATTCTCATTTAGGAGTTGTCAACGCCACCTCCACTACCTGAAGTATTCTCAAAAGTCGATGAGGATAAGAAAGATAATGCAAATGTGGCATCTTAATTTTTAATTTTAAACGAAACAGCTATCAAGCAATTAGGAACAAAAAAATTGATATAAATGAACACATTTCTTTGTTAAATCTTTTTTTTTGTTGTTGAATCTATTTTTTTTTTCTGCTACTACTTATGTCAAGTTTAACCCAATAACAAATCGAGCTAGAGCAAATAACAATGAAATGCAGTCAGGCCAATTTTGGTAAACGAGAATCTTTAGAGACAAAGAAAGTTACTTTGTTGTTCTTCTTTTGTGCTTTTCCTTTCGAATATGTATTATATATCATTTTATGTTTAAATTGTTCTTTTTTTTCAAGCAGAGAAAAAGGCGTAATGAATAAAAAGATAAATAGTCTAGTTTTATGCTTGGAACTATTTACCCGTATTTATACACCCTTTCAATTGTCTTTTGCATTTTCGGTTCTTCTTAGACTTTTATGAGTTACAGTTGTTTCTTATGCTCCGAAAAACTTACGGGTTTATCAAATATTTCTTAAAGTTTATATTTTGATTTTGTAGTGTAGAATTATGTTACCACATTCTTGCTGTGGAGTAGAACCGATAAAATGGAAATGTTTTCACAAACGAAGAATGTTATTTCTCCAATATTCTAGTTAAAGTTTATAAAGCAGCATTCTTTCAATCCAATATTAGAAACGATCGAAGTGTGATATGTATTATTCTTCATTCACAAAAATCGCGAGGCTTTTCCTACAGTTGTATAATTTCATCTTTTAATTTAGAGACGTTGCTGTTTTTTATACACTGCTGTTAATTCGTAAAATCTAACCGAAGGAATAATTTTAGCGATCGATGTTTGACGCGCGAAAGGTATGTGAACGAGTTCAAACAGACTAATTTTGTGCAAAAATTTAACTTATTCTTCTACGAGTTAAAAAGTACAACGCCGTGAATCTTTATTTTCTAAAAATAACTAATACGACGTATACATTGATTTTCTAACGTGTGTCAACTATGCTGTTTTTATAACGGGGCTGAGGAACAGTATCCAGAGGACTACTTCTTTTGAGTTCACCCGTAGAATAAAAATGATTAGAAAATGAAAGAGAAAAAAAGAATTCGAAAAATAAGGCGTTAACACACCAACAATAAAGGGCTGATGTACTAGTAAGAAAACAACACATTTTAATGCTTTAGAACTCGATCATTTTAAACTTCGTTGATAAAACAAATATCTCAGTATAACGCCTCAATTAGTCAATTTCTGAACCATTGAGATGTTAAGATGCGCTCTATCTTTTGTGGAATCCTCTTTATTGCGTAAGCATGTTAAAATTGGATGATTAAAGTGTTCACGTATTTCTTAATGCGTTTAAATGAGTTGAAGATTTCTGTTTTCTAGCATGCGATAGATCCATTTTATTCAAATCAATCTTGTACTGAGAGAGAAAAATTTCTACTATATTTTTCTTCTATTAACAACAAACGACAGAGATGAAGCTAAACTTTTGTACTTATGGATTTTGATACATGGCACTTTTCTATTTTTATAAATTAAAAACTATTTACTCTCATTCAAAGTGTGGTCATTTGGAAAAGGTTATGTCAATATTCTATAAATTCGTCTTTCTTGAAATTTTAAACACTATCAGATTAAAAATCATTTTATTGTCTCCTTCAATATAGTTTTAAAACATGACTACTGCCATAGATGAACTGTTTTAAAACAGATTTGATAGAACGAAAGTTTTGAATAACGATAATTGTATTATTCAACTTGTAGTCATTCTTTCTTCATTTTAAGTAACGTAGATGTGTATATTTGAACAATTATGTGAGAAAACGATACACAAATTCTATTATTATATTCAAATGAACTAAATAAACATTTAAATACACAAAATAATTATAGGAATGAACAACTAACATCGAAGACTAAATAAATATTTTATTTTTGTTGAAGACGAGACACATCGTTCACATCCCGTTGTATCTCTCTAAAAATATCTGTAAACATGACAACAAATGCAAGAGAACAATAAACAAATAATAATGAATTTATAAAATTATCTAATAAACATAAGGCGATGTACAGTATCTGTGTATTTCTTTACTGCACATAAACTAAACTTATTCGAATGTAACTTAACTATTTTAAAACTGAATTATGCATGTTCTCCTTCGCTATGTTGTGTTTTATCATCATTATCCTCATCTGGGCCACTTGTTTCAGGACTCGATTGTTCTTCTGACGTATGATTTGATTTTTTCTGTAAAAAACAAACAAACAAATAAACAGTTTATCAAAATTAATAACTAATTTTTGTTTTTCTACTGACTAATTTCATTCATTTGATAGTAGTAGCAAATAATATATACTTACTTGACTTGGTGGTTTTAGTTTTTTCACTTTTTCTGGTTTGCTATTGGAAAATGGTTCTATTATAACTTTACCGATATTTTTTCTTTCGGTTAATTGACTGATGGCATCATTTACCTATGAAAATATAATTTTAATAATTGTTAAAATATTATTATTGAGAAAGAAATCATTTATTTACTTGCTCAAATGTGTAAACAGAATCGACAACAGGTTTTATCTTTCCTGCTTTGAATAAACTAAAGACTTTTTGTAAAATGTCACCGATATATCGTCGAGTATCAGCCGAACCACCATTTCGATGAAGTAATTGAAATAAATTAAAACCATGAACACTTTTGCTATCTTCAAATAATCGTTTTATACTGACTTTATCATTCTGCCACCACTAGAAGAAGAAAAAAAAAAAAATGTCAAAAAATATTTTTTTGGATTAAAATGATGTTTAAAATATTTTCTTACTTGTGAAAGACCTTTTGTAATGCCAAAGAAATTTTTAGTATCCCAGGTCAAAGCACTCGAGGTACCATACATAATATATTTGCCATTTAATTTTAACAAATTTAGACCACGTTCACAATCATCTCCTGCCATACAATCTAATATTAAATCAATACCTTCCGGGCAAATTCTAAAAATTTAAGATATCAATTAACATAATTAGTAATTTCTATTTTTTATTTTTTGACATTTTTCTAATTGCTAGTCTACTTACTTTTTAATATCTTCTGTATAATCAATATCGTGTTCAAATAAATAATGAATATGATTTTTTAGTACATCAAATTTATGTGGTGATGCTGTGGCTATGACAGTTAAATTGTTGACTAATTTTGATAATTGAGTTAATGCAACTAAAATTCAAAGAAGATTTAATTTTAAAGTAAAATGAAAATTGTATTGATAATAACCTCCTACACCACCACCCGCCGAATGAAAAAAAAGAGTTTGTCCTGATCTCAATTGTCCAAGTTCAAATAATAAAATATATGCCGTAATATAAGATACTCCAAAACCAGCTGCTTCTCGAAATGTCATTTCGTTTGGTATTTTAAAAACGAGATCTTTTTTACACATCACTTGTTCCGTCCATGCATTAAAACGACATAAAGCTAATACTCGATCACCACGCTATAAAAAAAAAGAAGATTTTATTCATTCACATGATTTAAAGAGAAATTAAAAGTTTGTTTATGTTACCTACATTTACGTTTGTTACATTTGAACCAATATCTAACACTTCTCCAGAACACTCCATACCTAGAAGA